CTTTCTCTATCCGCCACGTAGCCTCGTCAACAACCTCCAGTGAAACAGCTAGCTTAGACAAAGTATTTGAGTATGCGTGATGCATTACTCTTCTACATCCTTTCCTTGATGCATCTGTAAAATGGTGATATTCCGCCTCCACATTAAATTCTTGCTTAGAATCATAGTGGTGTTTTGAATGCGCGTGTGGCTTATGGGACGTCTTGTGGTGATGTGCTGCTTCCCAAGCCTGTGCTTTTATCCCAGCACACGACGTTGGTACCAATTTATCGACCTCGTAGGGATGGGAGACTTGGTTGACCTGGACAACACCGATTCAAGATACAATCCCTGGTACGATAATATGCTCCAATTGCCACAACACCACTTCCGTACCAGAATATCCATTTATTTACTTGATTTTCCTCCATAGCAGTGACCATAAAAGGGAGCCAACTTCACTTGGATTCATCTAACACAGATCACTTACAGCACTTCTCCATATCTACAGGCTTGGGCGCTTCAATACAATGCCTTGAAGCCTGTGAAGACCTTCACAAATACGGGTTCATACACCGTGATCTGAAACCTGCAAATTATGCTTGTGGATTAGGCGAAAAGAAACATGTGGTTCAGTTTCAATCCTTTTCTTTTGTTTCCCCAGAAAGAGGATTGGCATTCTCTTCCAGGTGTATATTTTGGACTTCGGAATAGCTAGACGTATTCTCAATGATAAAAATGAATTGAAGACGCCACGTGTATCAGTTCGTTTCAAGGTATGTAGAAAACGGCTAATCGTGGAACCAGTAGCTGTAAATGGTAAATGGCGAATTTCAGGGTACTATACCATTTGCCTCCATTGCTTGTCACAGAGGTATAGAAATGGGGCCAAAAGATGATTGCGAGTCATGGTTCTACTTGATGTTAGATTTAACGGTTCCGGGAGGTAAGCGAAGAACGAAGATGTTATAGGAAAGGTGGTAATAGGATGGCAAAGATGTTGCCATTTGTTGCACAACGACTCGATCATCTGCTTGACTTTGCTAGAGAAACAGTTTTCAACTCGCGCAGCTGCCAGCTCTGTTGGTGCTCTTTTCATGTTGTACCAGCCTGGTTTTCGCTTCTTGTGGGAGAATTGTAAGAGCTGGATATGTGGCGTATTGAATTTCACCCTTTAGCTACCAGTGGTGTTTGCCTCAATGTGCGCTATTTGGGTAAAAGCGTCTAATCGCTCAATTGTAAGAATATGGGCTAAAAGCTGATTTTTCTTGCCCCGCAAAGAGCTGAACTCAGAATGACCTTCAAATTATACATTTCGTGCCTTAATGGAGTGTTAAACATGATACCGTGAGCCCCTCTGTATTCTAAATCCATATCGCGTGTAGGATCCGGAAAGTAAAATCGAAATTTCTCTGAACACCTCTGAGCACAACTACACTCACCCCATTTGTTAAATGACGATAAATGCTGGTTCGAAATCGAGGCATGACAAAAACGAGCCATAAAATCACAATCCACGCCCATTTTGGGATATTTAGTTTCATAGGAATAACGGACGTCTCCCAAGGTTGGCGAGTTATGGACAAAGTTTCGGCCTCGGGCGGGACTGGAACCCATACTTGTAATGCAGCGAATAGAAGCCCAAGCCCGGATAGCACAAGTACGACGTCCGATACCGAAGTTTCCTCCAAAATTCGTCAACTTTGCGAGTCTTTCCCATCGAATTGCGGCGAAAAACAGCAATTAACTAAATATCAAGTCTAAAATAATGGAATTGGAAGCCGGGAATACGGAAAGTGGTATCGCGAAAAGTGTTTTACTGTATATGTGAGGAAATCTGCGATAGCACTTTCAATTAATTATTGTCGATACTAGAGGTCGATACCAGAGGTAATCGGATCCATCTTCCATAATAATTCCTCTGGTAGCGGTACGTGATTTTCCTCTCCGTAGACGTGGACATGCTTTTAAAACACAATCTGACGCTGAGACGTGGCTTTGTCAGTTAACGACTTCGAGTTAGTTACGCAGCAGGTGAGGGTTGTCATACGTATCCTATGCAGCAAAGCACTGCCCATACGAGCCGTGGGAGCAAGGTCGACGCCTTCCGGGTCACTTGCCCTAAAACCGTCTATTCTAGTAGTATGAACCCAGCTTGAAAAGTCAACTTCAGCTACTCCTAATTTTTCTTTGAATCCCAACTCTCAATGGTATCTGAATGCCTTGCAGAAACCCGACTGATTACGCTTGTCGGCTGTTCTGCGCTTCCCTATCTTCAAGTGTTCTGTAGTTTTCTTTTCTCCAAGTAAACTATTCATTTACGTTGTAGGCTTGATTTGGAAACGAATTGCTGATAAGAATGAAGTGCTCAAAGTGAAAGAAGAATGTAGGACGTCGAGAAAGGTCCTTTCTCCAAGGAAAAACAGATATCATTTAGATTTACCGTATCTCAGCAGTTTAGGACCAAATGCTTGGCTCTTTGAAATGCAAAGAAGAACTCTTGCGAGTACTCGAGTATATCGATAAGCTGCAGTATCACGATCATGTTGATTATACGTACATTTATAAGATGCTCGAAGAGGTAATATTACTGAAGGTTTTCGAGAGTTTATAAACAAGCCAGTTTACAACGATTCATATTACAGGGAGCAATTCAAGCGGGTGGAAATGTGAATAATCCATATGACTGGGAGACCGAAATTCCGTAATGTTGCTGCTTGTAAAGCGAGATAACAAAACAAATTCTCGATCACATTTAACTGATATCATTAAAAGATAGCATTCCGGCTGTTTTTTGCAGTTTTATTCGTAAACGGTTATCTGAATGAAGAAATCGCCAATCTCCAATCGAGCAAAGAAGCTGCCTAACTTGCCTTTTGTGACTTGTAACTACGATTTGTTTGCCGCAGGAGCTTATTGACATTAAGTTCAAGGCTTCCCTTTTCTTGTCTGCTTTGCTCGCCGTGTTCCAAGAGTATTGGACAAAGTGGAACGTTCTCACAATTATCATGATCCTTTGGGAAAACACCTCGAGAAAGGTAGATTTAAAAAAAAAGCACTAAAATTCAGTTGAATGTGGAAAATCTCAAAGTGGGCTAAAAGATCTGGTGGATATGTAAAGAGAATCTTGAATCTGCCTCTGGCGCTCAGATATTCGATTGGACCTATAATTTGCCTTCCTTTTATCATTGAATTGTATTCTGACGTGTTCTTCCATTTGTTAACTTACCTCTGAATTATTGTAGATTGTAGCGTAGCAGCGACAACGATTTTGACAACGTCCGATTTAGTCAAAACCACAAAAGTGTTGCAAATTCGGAGAGCGTCCGTTGCGCGCGTCCGTCGGAAGTAGGTCATCCCGCCCACTTCGCGCGCGACCCACCCCATTGAGGCCTCAAGATGACATTACAGTACCGCTAAGTGTAAGTGGAGTGAACGATTTGTATTTGTCCGTGTAATCCTCTCTTTGGCTGACTGCCGTGGACCAAGCGCAAATCGAATGCACCACTGACAACTGCGACGTCTGTCAAGTATCGCGGGCTAACCCGCCGCATGCGCCGGCTGCGGCGTAACCTAGTTCCGTCGGACGCGCGCAGTGAAGCGCACCCTGCAAATTCTTATTCTTACCTCCCGACAGTTAAGTTTCACTATTCATCACCTATATTTCCAACAACAATATGCCGTTTTATGATGGTGTTCCTCTCCTTCTGAAGTTCAGGTAACCATGCCTGGTTCCTCATATTTTGGGCCCATTTTCACTACATCCTGCTCCATGCAGTCAATATTCTTCCATTCGACCGGTCCAATAATGGATGAAAGGATAAAGGATAAAAATTTCAAGCCTAATCAATACCGTCTAAGGGACGTGCCGCGCATTCACCCTCTATTCAGAATCGTAATGGCGAACTGAATGCATACGTGGTGGATACAGTGACTTGCGGTGGCGCGCCGATGTACAAGCCTTTATCCCACACGAGTTTGGTACAAATTAACTGACTCGGAGGGATGGCAGGCTTGGTTAGCTTAGCAACAATCCTATACTACCTCTCTCAGGTTGTAGTAGTACTATATCGGTGGGAGTTTTGGGGCAGTAGTGTGGTGGGTTGTGCCGTGCCCGACATTGATATATGCACTTGATACCGTTGTTGCCACGCGGGTCCTACAATACACCACACTCGTGAAACCGAGGTTTATTAATTCCTCGAACTTGGGTAATTAAACCATATGAAAAAGAAGCATAACAAATACATACTAAAAGGCTCGAACCGTCATTCATGCAAAAGGCACAAACCGCTAAGGATTACCAGATGTGAGTATAAAGCGAAAGAAGTTAAGTGAGCGCGTAGTGATATTTGATTAGCGTATAAAGCACAAGAAAATGAATGAGCATTTCTGAGCGTAATAAGAGCGTTGTAAAAAGCATAATAAAGAGCGATATTAAAGGCGTAATAGAAGCGTGGATTGCATGAGAACAGCGTGGAGAACATCAAAGGCAACTGTCCTCTGGCCTCGTTCTGGCGTGCTTATATGTGACAGGCATCGAGCCTCGCATGTTTGGAATGAGGCATTTCGTTTTCTGAGGAAGTTGAGATAAGGGAATGTTTCTAGTCGGCTCGATAAGCCGAGATTGCAACCTGAACCGCGTTACAGTTGCAATACTGGCGGCCGCGCGTCAGAATGAGGTTAAAAATTTAACTCCAACTACGACAATGCATACAATAATATTATACAATTGACCGGGTATAGGATGACATGTATCATCATATACAATAAACACATGTGCGATATTATGGCGTAAAACATGGCGTAAGGTCCTGAAGCTGTTTTAGAATGCGTTCGATTTCTTCGCTCTTTTACTTAAAGGCCTTTCTCCTGCAAATTGCGTCGTCGTAGCGTCGCTTGTTTTCTTCCGCTCTTTCCGGCCAGCTACACAGCGCTGAGTGATGGCCGGTTTCGTGGCAATGGTAACATTGGTTTTCCTTTTCTTACAGGCGTGCGTTTCGTAGCGTACTCGTAAACAACATGCGCATATGTTTTCGCGTGCGACGATGTGGTTGCGGCGTGCCATGGCTCGATATACTGTGCAGGAATNCCGGCCAGCTACACAGCGCTGAGTGATGGCCGGTTTCGTGGCAATGGTAACATTGGTTTTCCTTTTCTTACAGGCGTGCGTTTCGTAGCGTACTGATAAACAACATGCGCTTATGTTTTCGCCTGCGACGATGTGGTTGCGGTGTGCCACGGCTCGATATACTGTGCAGGAATCGGAATAATGCTCTGCGACTCGTCCACAGAACACGCATTTCATTCCTTTCTTATCCTCTACGACTATGCACCCCCCCCCCCATCTCGAAGTTTCTAAGCTCGCAGTCCGGTTCCACGTCCAACCTGTAGACTAGGTCCTCCAGTTCTTCAATCTCCTCTTCAATGTCTTGATATTCCACTATCAATTCAGCCCTTCTTCTTCCGATCTCCACTTCTCGTCGCCAATCATCGCTTTCATCGTCTTCCACCGTTTCTTCCATGCAATCTGCGTGGTCCCGTACTTTTATTTCTGGGTCGCCGCCTTCCATGCTCTCTTGGCTCGAGCGTCGTCTGCCCTCCCCGACGCGGCGTTGTCTTTCTGCGTGCTCGTTTCCTGAAGTCTGCGTAGATTGCGTTTGCTTCTACGACGCGTTGGCTGCTTTCAGTCCTCGTTGCGTGCGTACGTTCCGTCCGTTGCGTCCATCCGTTCGTGCGGCGCGTTGCGGTCTTGTTGCGCGTGTGCGGCGACGGCCCTAGCCCACTTGTACACAACACTGGGTCACTGGATCACGTGCCAACAAGTGGCTAGGGCCGCCATCGCACGCACGTAACGCGCCGTACGGACGGACGGACGCAACGGACGCAACGGACGGACGTCGAAGCCTGAAAGCAGCCTTAACGGCGGCGTTGTCCGTATTGCTTCTTTTACCGCTGCCGGTGTTGGATCGATTCGAGAGTCTTTTCGAAGCAGCATGGTTGATTCGCCTTTTACATGGAGATCTATTGCTGCAGTATTATCTATTGCGTCCTTGGTAGTCACTTTCAGTTTTCGTTGGATCATACTTTGCAAATTGTCGAAAGACGTGATGACAGTTCTCTGGAAATCCTGCGTCCATGTGTTCTTCTTCCTGGAGTATTCTGCGGAAGTCATTCAGAAGCGATTGCTGTTCGCTCAAAATCTTGAGCTGGTCTTCAATGACCATCTCGATTGGCGATTGTTTCATGAGAATATAATTCTCTCTGTCATCATACTGCGGCTGTGTTATTATTGCCCGCCAGTTACTCTCTGAGATGGCACCAGTGGCGATGAGAAGTGGCGATACTGCAAACAAGGAGCGTAATTCTGTGCGGATAAAAAGAAATTCCATTTCTCATATCTCCTTGAGCGTTTCAATAATGAAGTTCTGCTATGCATTCTTTCCATCCTTCCCTCGATCTGCGTAAGTTGGCGACTCTTTCAGTTAGCGTTGTCATGTTCTTCAGCGTTTCATGAAGGTGTCGACAAGTTACCAGGATTTTCTTTTAAAGCTGCGTGGGCGTCGGTAGTGGAGGAATGGCGTGAAGTCGACCTTCGTACTTGCATTCCGATGCGTTCATTTCCTGAAGATTGTAGGGAATAGCTGTCACTCATTATGGGCTTTGATACTCCTTATCGTACCATAAAACTTCTCAGTGCATTCAAAAAGTGTCCAATAGCCATGCTTTTTACTAGTTGCACCAAATGTGGTGGGTTGTGCCGTGCCCGACATTGATATATGCANGAAGCATAACAAATACATACAAAAAGGCACGAACCGTCATGCATGCAAAAGGCACAAACCACCGAGCATATATCGTATCGATACGAGATGTACGTATAAAGCGAAAGAAGTTAAGTTAGTGATATTTGATTAGCGTGTAAAGCACAAGAAAATGAATGAGCATTCTTAAAGCGTAATAAAGAGCGTCATAAAAAGCGATATAAAGGGCATAATAGAAGCGTGGATTGCGTGAGGACAGCGTGGAGAACAACAAAGGCAAGTGACCTTCTTCCTCGTTCGGGCGTGCTTATATGTGCGAGGCATCGAGCCTCGCACCACTGGAATGTGGCATTTTGTTTAGTGAGAAAGTTGAGACAAGGGAATGTTTCCAGTCGCGCAAGGCTCGATGCTCCGATATTGCAATTTGAACCGCGTTACAGTTGCAATACGCTTTTTTTGTGCGCTGCCTTTTGTGTGCTCCCTCACCAATACCAATATACCAACTCCTCGGTCTTCCGTACCTACGGAACTGCAAATGAAGCACACTTCGCTTGCGTGAGAGCTTACTGTGTTGGAGTGCAACCTGTCAACGAATTTAAAACCGAAACTTGGGCTTCACATGAATGTGAAATGTGCTGTTCTCATTAAGACTTACTTTTCTGCAATGTGAGGATCGAGGGAAATATGCAACTATGTCAACACGGTAGAAATTGCTATGATTAAAGACACAGTTCACGTAAAAGTGGTTTCTGACATTTTCTCATAGTATATATTTGAAGCTCTCCGTCATATCATACTTGCCGTTATAAGCTCGAAAAATCCGCTGTATAGAGCACAGTAAGGAGCCAGAGATTGTAATATGTAGATGCACATCCATATTGGACCAATTTCAACGGCTTTGTAGTGGCTGCACTACCTCAAGGAGCTCCCACGTAAGAGGTTCT